GTAACTTGGTGAATTTTCACAGAAACTCACCTATGTAATCAGAACCCAGATTTAAAAAGTTACCAGGATGTCTGGGTGGTTTTTAGGTACGTTTCATGGCTCATACACATATGAGAAGCTTCCTCTTAGATGAAAGTGGAGACATTCCACCATCTTCACCTGTCAAGGGGGTGGGGCAGTGGTGGCAGTGTCCAGAGATAGCCAGGTTGGAAGTCTCATACGCCATAGGTCAGAAGCTGTCAGTGGGTGGTGTGACAGCACCTTGCCTCCATTTAGACACCCTGCGTGCACTTGGAGCTTGAGGTTTCCTGACAGCACCTGCACCACGGAGACCCCAGGAACAGTCTCCATCATCACCTTTAATTGGAAACCTTGGGACTCAGACACAAAGGAGGTCCTTGATGGGGCAGTACCCTGTCCCTAAGGCAGTACTCAGCCCTTCCTACATGCACAGAGGTGAGTGACACTCTGGAAAAGTATAGGCTGAGGACCAATGTGGAGGGAGTGCACTTACTCTGAAAAGCAGAAATAAATGTTGGGAGAGCTGTGTATGCTCTGTGAAGGAGGGAAGAGCTAGCTTCGCTGGAGTTCCCTTGTCGGCATCGTGCCCAGCGCTGGCTGTCTTCGCGCCGCGTGGAGGACAGGCAGGTGTGTGTGCTGTTGTCCTGCTGGACACTGGGCTTCCTGTAAGTTTTCAGGGTGACGATAGGACAGATAGCAGATTCTGTCTGTAGGAAAAGTAAGTCTGGACTTACTGGAAGTCTGGAAGTAGAGCTGGAGGTAATATGGTTTTCATCTTACTAAACACCTGAGCATTTGTAAATATTACCTGAGTTAATCACCAAGACACTTTAAGAGGGAGATGCTGCGATCTGTTTCACGAGGAAGAAAGCTGAGCCTCAGTGACGTGACTGCTCTACGAGATCAGAGGCCTGCGGGCTGGATAGTGGAGCCTGTTCTGACAGCCCGGCCTTCCTGGTGATGTCAGGAGAATGATTTGTCTGAGGACAGGGGCTCAGCTGCTGTATGTGGAAGGAAAGGGAGGAAAACTTGCCCTGTATAGTTCTCATGTATGTTACGCCAAGAACTGAGTGGCCATCAGGGTCTTAGTCACGTTCTCTAAGCTGAGAGTTGATTCAGATCTCATACTAGCAGTAAGGGTGTTTACCTGTGGTTTTCTCTGTTTTATTCATGTGATATGCTTGTTTTAAGTAGCTTTTTATTACATGAGACTGGGCCTTTTTTAGTTCCACAGTGTGGACTGAGGGTATGTGTCATGTATACCAGGGATTCTTGTAAGCTCCGGGTTGTAGCAGTGACCCCAGCAGGGAAGGACTTTTCTCTTAGGGAGCTTGCGGCCTGCTGAGGGTGACTATAAGCGATCCTGGGTGTAACGTAGAGTCATGTGGCCATGGTGAGGGCAGGGCCGGTAGGGAAGGCTCTTAGGTGGGTGAGATGTGGGAGGGAACCTCCTTGCAGCAGGTGAGGGCAGGAAGGGATGAGAGGCAGGAGACGTGGGGTAGGAGCCTCTGGGGCAGGAGTTGGAAGGGGAACAAGGATGGGGAGGGAAGAGCCACTACCCAAGGGCAGTAGGGAGGAGGCTGACTTTCCCTTTGGCCTTTTTGTGTCTGAACACTGCATGCAGATTTTCAGAAACTCAACTGAGTATGTAGCTGCTGGGTGCAGACAGACCCAGAGAAGGGCTGGGCAAGAGAGGCCAACAGCAGGGGAGGGACTTGCCCAGGGCATCTCTTCTCTGTTGTGGGGCCATCCATGTACTGTGGGGTGTTGGCAGCATCCCTGTCTGGCCTCCAGACACTGCTCAGTGACCCTGGGAGCTGAGAATCACTGCACAGGAGCAGTCTGGAGGACAAGAGGGGGTAGGTGGTATGGCAGCTAGTGGTTGGGGCTGTAGATATATGGGTTTTCCCACTAGTTTTTGCATGCATTGATGTTCTGGTGTGTCATTGTGATTCTGTGACATGTTGTCACCTGTATAGGTGTGTCTTGTGTGTCCTGGTGGTGGTGTGATTGAGATGCAGATGACACATCCAGCATACACAGGACTCCTTGGTGTTGCCTCTTTGGGGCTGCACACTCCTCCCTCCCCCAGCACCCAGCCAGCCCCTGTCTCTTGCCCAAGCCTGTGATTTTGTCATTTTGAAAGTGTTACTTTAAATGGACTTATGGAGGATAAAACTTATGGAGCCTGGGTTTTTTTTATTTGGCACAGCGCCCTGCACAGTGGGTGCTGTACCAGGAGCTCATTCCGTTTAGTTGCCGAGTGGTGTTCCTTGATGTGGAGGAGCCGCTGTGTGCTGAACCATTCTCCCATCGAAGGGCTTTGGAGTAGTTTCCCATCTTTGAGTGTTCCAAATAAAGCTGCTGTGAGCATTCCTGTGCAGGTTCCTGTGTGAGCGTAGTGTTTGTTTCTCCTGGATACATGCCCAGGAATGCATTTGGTCCTCGCCCTCTGATACATGTGTGAGACTTTGGGAGAAACTGCCAGGCTGATTTCCCAGGAGACTGCACTGTGTTACCTTCCCACCAGCAGTGTAGGGAGACCTCCCCCTCCTCATCCTCCCTGTCACTTGGTGTTGTCAGCCTGGTAAGTCTTACCTGTCCTAATAGGCATCGAGTGGCATCTCATGGCAGTCTTAATTTCCCTTGCCCTAGTGGCTAATGAGGTTAACTGTTCATCTTTTCATGCTTAGTTGCCACCTCTGTCTTTGGTGAAGTGTTTTCTGTTTTTGTTTTTTTAGTTTTTTGCCTGTTTTCTAAGTGGATTATTTTCTTACTGTTCCCTTTAGATAGATCTTTATAGTCAACATGAGTCCTTTGTTGATATATGATTTGTAAAAATTGGACAAGACAAAAAAGTGGCCTTTTTAGTGTCTTAACATGGCTTCTGGTAGAGCAGATGTTTTTAGTTCTGATGCTGAGTATGTTGTGAGGTGAGAGCTGATGGCTTGTGGACCACGTGAATCCTGTTTCTGGCCTGAGCACCTGGGTGATGCTGTTCACTGCCAGGGGGAGCTCTGGAGAGGAGCTGACGTGAGGCCTTATTAGAGATGGTCAGTGCAGGTACAGAGGGAGGTATCAGGAAGATGGGGGAGAGATCAGGCCCACAGTGTAGGAAATGTGGAGTTTGGAGTCATTTAGGAATGTATAGAGGTGAAGGTCACAGGCCTGGATGAGCTTGTCCAGGCAGTAAATGTGGACAGAGACACACAGAGGCTGGAATCTTGGTCTGGGGCGTTGGACATGGAGATGTAAAGGAGAGTCCAGTATGGATTGAAAAAAGGGAGCCCCAAGAAGTTGAAACAGGGAAGCGTATGGGTGCTGGATGCCAGGAAGCAGGTAGTCCAGGTTCTGCTCTGTCCACTGAGGCTGCAGGACTGACTGGTGTGCCTCATAAGGGAAGTAAAGGGGCAGGGAACTTGATGTCCATGCATTCGAGGGATGGAGTGTAGGGGGAGGAAACCAGGCAGCAAGTGTCAAAACCCTGCCAGTTGGCTTACTTTCTAGCCCTCAACTAGAGTGTTGGCAAGAATTACCTTGAAAATATCACCAAAGTGGGAGGGACATGTGCCCTCCATCCACATGCTGAATCTTTCCTTGGCAGGTGTCCAGGTAGGGCAGTAGTGGACAGAGCTGACCACCAAGACGGGTGCCCTGGGTTGGACCTATAGAGGTCAGCTGAGTACCATCAGCTTGTGGTTTGGCCATTTATATGCGGACAGTTCAGGCACTAATATTTAACTGGGTGTGAGATCAGAGACCAGGAGTCTGTGGAGCTATTTTTATTTTTATTTATTTTTTAAAAAGATTTTACTTATTTATTCATGAGAGAGAGAGAGAGAGAGAGGCAGAGACACGGGCATAGGGAGGAGCAGGTTCCATGCAGGGAGCCTGATGCGGGACTTGATCCCGGGTCTCCAGGATCACACCCTGGACTGAAGGCGGCGCTAAACCGCTGAGCCACCGGGGCTGCCCTGTGGAGCTATTTTTAAATCTTACTCTTCAAAGATGTTTGACTTGCATTACTTTTTTTTTTTAAATAAATATACTTCAGTTATGTCAAGGAAATTATATTAAAGGTGAACCAGAGTATTGAATTGTAAACCCTTCCCCTGAAATTTAATATCTCTGGCTCTTATGTGCTCAGTGTAAAAGGTGATAGGGTTCTTCAAAAGCAGTGACTTTTTGTTCTTAATTAAGAAATAGCTGGGATCCCTGGGTGGCGCAGCGGTTTAGCGCCTGCCTTTGGCCCAGGGCGCGATCCTGGAGACCCGGGATCGAATCCCACGTCGGGCTCCCGGTGTATGGAGCCTGCTTCTCCCTCTGCCTGTGTCTCTGCCTCTCTCTCTCTCACTGTGTGCCTATCATAAATAAATAAAAAAAAAAAAAAAAAAAAAAAAAACAAAAAAAAATTTAAAGAAATAGCCACAAAATTACATTGCTTAATGACCCAGATAGACTTGTATATTTATTTTAAAAGGAATAATGCAGATTAAATCATGTTTAGTCTCTTTTGCCTACTTATATTTGGCTGGTCTGAAGAATGTATTTATTTACTAGTGTTTTATTTTTATTTATTTTTTAAAGATTTTGATTTATTTATTCATGAGAGCCACAGAGAGAGGCAGAGACCCAGGCAGAGGGAGAAGCAGGCTCCATGCAGGAAGCCCGATGTGGGACTCGATCCTAAGACCCCGGGATCACACCCTGAGCCGAAGGCAGACGCTCAACCGCTGAGCCACCCAGGTGTCCCTATTTACTAGTATTTTAAAGTCATGAAATGCCTCTTTGTGGTTTCATTCATTAAGTGAATCGTAACACGTGGAGTGACCTTGAAGTGGGCTTCTTCATGGCTTCTTCACACAAGATGAAGCTCCCGTGGCATTTGGGGACACTTGGGCTCTATGTCCCGCTGTAGGTGGGACACCCCATCCTCCAGTCTGGTGGACAGGTGCTGACAGTTGGCTTTTCTTTTTCAGGTGCACATTCAGGTTCCCGAGCACAAACATCAAGATCACGTTCACTGCCCTGTCCAGTGAGAAGAGGGAGAAGCAGGAGGCTCCCGAATCCCCGGTGAAGCCTGTGCAGGCCCACATCTCGCCCCTGACCATCAACATTCCAGACACCATGGCCCACCTCATCAGTCCCCTTCCCTCCCCCACGGGAACCATCAGGTACAGCAGCTTATGTGGTGGGCAGGGGTCACCATAGGGTCGGGCTGTGGGGTCATGCCTACTGAGATGGATATAACCACATCTCAGTTTCATTCCTCACCTTCTGCCTTGGGACTCGAACAAGCCGTCATAAATCACAATGATGGCCAGAAGCACACAGCAGCGCCAGCTCCCTTCCTGGAATGGACATGTGCAGAGAGGGAGGTGTGAGGGGGCTTCACATGCCATTCAGTTTTGGAACACCCTTTGCTCCCCATTTCCTGAGTATGAAACACAGTTCCCAAATGATCCTGGTCCTCACTTATGGACTCTCTGTATTTGAGTGTAAGGTGAAGGGGCAGGTAATTTGCTATGTTGCTGTAAACTCTGAGATAACGTTTTCATTTGCATTTTTAGTTTGCTGCAGTTTCATGTAAATTCTGATGACTTGTACTTTGGATTGATGAGTTTGACCACAGTGATGAAGCAACCTACTTGTGTTTGTCTTGATGTCCTAAGAGAGACTGGGTGCTTCAGGAAGCAGAGGTCTGTGGCTTCAGGGCACACTCTTGGTACAGAACCCAGAATCCAGAGCACAGTGCTTAGGTTGTGCTGAGGTCTCAGAGGACAGTAGCTGAGGGTCAGGTCAAGAACAGCCATGGGATCCTGCAGACGTGTCATCAGAGCAGGTTAAGTGGCCATGTGTGGTCGAAGTGCTGTGATGTGGGGCAGAACTCAAAGGGGTCAGTCTTCTAGGTTCTGTTGGCTCTCGGAAGAAGGGAATAGTGTATCTGGGTGTCTTCTGCTTAGCTGTGAGTAATGTAGATGTAGGTGCAAAATGAATGCCTGTGCTGTGCCCTTGAATCAGACTTCTGCTGTCCAGATTTGTCCAGGGCACAACTGGGCGGTAGGGCAGGGTTTGTCTCGTCTGTCCAGGCTGACACTGCATGTGGCAGAGCCAGGGAGAGGACACGGGGAACTGGTGGCTCTGGCTTACATCTTTCAGGCAGACACTTCTATTTCTTAAAAATGAGCATCAGTGGTAGGCTTCTGGAAGGGTATCTGTGTTGGGTTTTATTTTTTAAGTGGAGGGAGTGGCGAGTGGACTGGCTCTGGTGTCTTGCATAGCACCTGCTATTGGCATCAGGCCCCTCCCTCCTCTGCCTCCATCCTGTGGCTGCTGTGTTGTGGAAGTTGCCTCTGTCTCTTCCACTTGGTGAGTTTGTTTCATGTGACTACATGGACCAAATAGCCATTGTGTCAGTGGAGGGACAACAGTTAGCAACCACATGGCCAGAGTTTTGTACAGCACTGTGTGAAAGTACACAGAGTGACAGATGAAGAGGAGGAAGTCCTGTGTACCCCAGTGGGAGAGCAGCCTACAGAGGGGCAGCAGCAGTGGAGACAGGCACATCAGCTCCCTAGACAATGGCATGGGCACTCAGGGCCAGGGCAGGATGGGGGCATGGGGAAGAGCTCCTGACCCAGCCTCCTCATCTTCTGCTCTGTCTTCCTCTTGTTTTGTTTGCTCGTCTCTCCCCACACCCTGGAGCCTCACACTGTAGCCAGTGTTGATCAGTGCAGCGCCTGCACTGGGTGGTTCAGCAGCATGGGAGCCTGACTGCAGATGACTTACGGCTGGAGCAGATTTGCCTTTTCCAAACCCAGCGGCCAGCCCTGTGGGGCCGCTCACCTTCCCATGGCAGCACTTCTTACTGGTAGCTAGTGTTTAAGATGCTAGATCTGTGCGGTCCTGCTGCTTCTCTCCCCAGTAGTATTTGCAGACTGTTCCTGGCCTACGGTAAACACCTGTCCAGTGAGTGAATGCATGTACTGTTGGTGTATGTTCATTGTAGGGAGGCCAGTAGTGCTGCACACGGTGCTGGGCCTCCTCCCCTTCCCTCTCCTTCTGCTCCACTTTCAGCTCAGGTTTTCAGAGGTAACTCCTGTTTTTTAGTGTTTTTTTTCCAGAAATTTTCTATATATTTGTAATATATATTGCAATATTTTCCTCCCCAAACACAACTCAGATGTAACCGCACATACTGTTGTGTAGCTGGATGGATTTCTTAAACGATCGTACCATAATTCCCTCCCATTTCCATAGCTCATTCTCTTTTTAAAATATGGTCCTTTATAGAAAAGGGAGCAGGAGCTCAAATGTGCGGCTTGGTGAACCACCACAGGTGAGTGTGGATGGCCTTCGGTCATCACAGAGATCAAGCAGCAGCACCCTAGCCTTGCCTTTGTGAAAAAAAGCATGTCTTTAAAAATCAGTTCCTTGGGTGCCTGGCTGGCTCAGTCAGTAGAACGTGCAACTCTTGATCTTGGACTTGTTTGAGCCTCATGTTGAAGGTAGAATTTACTTTAAAAATTAATTAATTTATTAATTTTAAAAAATAGGTTCCTGTTTCCGCATTTAGGGTATGTTGTGTCCTAACTGACCTGATGCATATGCTCCAGGGCCTGATGCCACCTGGGTCCATGTCCACGGCCTCATCCCCTTTCTGTGCTCCCTGCACTTGACCAGCCGCCTTCATCTCTCTCTAGACTGTCCCTGACCTTTCTAGTGTAGCTGGAGGCCATGTCCTTGGTGGGAAGGGAGTCAGCAGAGCATGTGCTCTGTGTCCCTCTGCCGGGCTGGAGCCCTGGGGCCATCACATATGGCTCTGTGTCCTTGGTAAGTTCTAGAACCATCTAGAGCCTCAGTTTCCTCGCTGGTGAAACAAGTGGACCACCACCCTCTTTGAGAGTTTGTTTTATGATTATGTAAGATAACACATGTGGAAGCAGATACCTCATTTCCACGTTTTCTGGAGTGATCTTAAATTTCTAAGAGAATTAAGGAGTCCATTTTCCATAGGAAATGCTGATGCTCTCCTACTTTGTACTTGAAATCAGAACGGGTCATTGAAGCACAGTGTGACGTATGTTCTCTAATAGTCTGATAGCAGCGACCTTTTCCCATCCACAGTGCTGCAAACTCCTGCCCATCCAGCCCCCGGGGAGCAGGGTCTTCGGGGTACAAAATGGGCCGTGTGATACCAGCTGACCTCAATTTAATGGCCGACAACTCGCAGCCAGAAAATGAAAAGGAAGCTTCTGGTGGAGACAGCCCAAAGGTAAATGTTTTATAGCCTTGAAACAGAACCCAGAGGCCGTCACGTAGCCAGCTGTCCTCACTTCTTTGCTTGTAGGTCTAGTAACATCCCCACCTGGGCCTTTTGTGAAGTGCATGTCAGAGGGGGATGCACAGCTTGGTCATTCAGCACTGGGTGCTCCCCGGTGGGCAGCAGTGGGTCCAGGTGCTAAGAGCTGAGCCGGTGGAGGAAAAGAGAACCCCTTGGTCCTCACAAGGTGATGTGTACTCTGTCCCCGGAAACTGTTCCTGGGGTTTAGTCCTGCTGTTGCAGACACTAGTGTCTGAATGCACAGGTGCACAGAACACACATTTTTGGGATGGTCCTTGCTGTGACCATGCATGTTTTTATTCTTTGAACCAGTAACACCACTTCTAGGACTGCATCTAAAGGAAATGGCAGAGATCTCAAACAAAAGTTAATAGAAAATTGAAAGCAGCCTAAATGCCCCATTGGAGAAGAGTGATCCAGCAGGGGACTATCATGCAGCATAGCTACTGCTGTGGAAGTGTCCTTGGTATAATGCTGAGTGAAAAAGATAAAGCAGTGTGTAGTATTATTATTTGTGCAATAGAACAGGCACAGCCATGGGATGGATGCACCATAGCCATGCACCACCTGTTTCCAGCAGCCGGGAGCCTCGTGCATGGGGCGTGCTGGGCAGGGGAGGCAGGCACATAGGCACCCTCTATAGGATTCTGTCTGTTTTATCCATTTGCCTGTTTAAAATCAGGCAGAACTAAATTGTGTTTTTTTCAGGATGCATTCTGAGATGATAAAACTTTTAATTAATCACAGCGGGATTGTGATTACTGTAAAATGTCAGAAGTAATGGGGGCCTCTCTGGGAGGTAGACACTGTGGGCTCGGTGGGCATGTGGAAGCTTCTGGGATGTGGGCTGTGTTCTTCTCTTGACCTAGTGTTGTTCTGACGTTAATTTTATAAACATTTGTTTTCAGCTGATAAGGATGTATTACACACTTTCCTATCCATATTACATTTTTCAATTAAAAAAAAAGTTTTTAGAAACGTATAGAATAAAGGTTACAGAGAAACACACTGAATGGCATAAGCACAGTGGAGATGGCTTCACGCTCTCTCCCTGGTACCTGGGTGGTCTCCAGCTCTGCCGTCTGCCTGGCCCTTTGGTACAGCACAGGATAAGTGGTGGGGAGCCCGGCCGAGGTGCTCCAGCCCAAGTACTAGCTATTGAAGCTGGGGTGCTGGGGTGGTAGGTGGTTCAGTCTGCATGGAACATGTCCCCACCACTGGCTGGCAGGATGGAGCATAGCCCGGGTGATTGAAGCCCATGCTCCTCTCCTTGTCAGGTCTTTCTACCTTTTCTGACAGTCCTCTGTTTGTTCTTTCCATTTGTATTTATTCCTAAAAAATGTCTAAATTGTTCATTTTTAAACCTCAAGTAACATGTATCATCTTGAATATATTCTTTTGCAGCTTACTGCTTGGAGTCTACTATTATGCTTCGTGGTCCATTTAACTTGATAGTTAACAGTTGTGAACAGTTCCCAGTTCACAACCAGGGGTGTACCCTCTCCCCATTGGGTTTATGTATGTGGGGGCTGAGTTGTTACAGTGACAAGGAGCCACTTGTGGCCTTGAGCACCCTGGCACCAGGGGTGTGCACGCTCTGCAGTGTTCACAGTAGCCCTGCACACTAGAACAGCGCCCGGCATGTGGCATGCAGTGCTTGCCTCTGTGTGGGATTTCCTATAAGGAGGAGCCTCGCAGTTAATGGGTACGCGGTGGTTCTGAGCCGTTGTCCCTTTGGCCCTAAGTGTGTGAGGACCCACCGAGCCCTGGGAGGGAGTGCCAGCTCACTCCACCCTTCGCCACGCTGACTCTTCACTTTATTGTTAGATCCATGTGATGGGCCTCTGGCGGTGATGTTACATGTGTTGCCCTGGACTCTAATGAGGTCAGGAAAAGTAGCTTTTTTTCCTTATGTTTTCTGTTTTTGCCATGTGGGGTTTCTCCTTATGTGGTTTTAATATTCTGTTACACTGCTTATACACTTTTCCATTTGCTTCATGAAAATTTTCCAAATGTTTTTCAGATTATATTATTTTTGTACTAAGGAAAACTAAGCATTTTCACAGGAACACTTAAAAACAACTATCCTGAATTTTAGTAAATTTAGTAAAAATTTTGATATCTTCAGTAATCTCTCTCTCTCTTTTTTTAACTTAACTACAGGATGACTCAAAGCCTCCTTATTCCTATGCACAGTTAATCGTACAGGCAATTACGATGGCTCCTGATAAGCAGCTCACTTTAAATGGAATTTATACTCACATCACTAAAAACTATCCGTACTACAGGACAGCGGACAAGGGCTGGCAGGTAAATCTGTTTCAGTTTCTTTTTTTTTTTTTTTTTTTTGAGATATTTCTGTGACGTGGCAGTAGATGCTGATTGATAACTGAGAGGACTTAGGCTGCTTTCCTTACCTTGGGCACAGGGCAAAGCAGAGCAGGGTGAGGGAGACCCTCCTTTGCTCAGGGAGGAGGCATGTTGGACGCCGCTAACCCTGTGCGCTCACCTCCTCTGCACAGAGCAGAAGGAATAGCAGCTCTAGAAGCAAACCTCAGCCTGTGGTTTTTATGGTCACTGCCCCACGGATAGGAAAGGCACGGATTTGTTTGTGAGGTTTCTCTTCCACCGTTGCAGTTAACTCCCTGTGTCTGAGGTAAAGAAGGGTTAGAAACCCAGCCTATCCCTCACTTAGGCTTTCTCCTGTCTTCCTTATTGCGTCTGCTGACGTACCTAGCTTCTCCAAGTCTGCACAGAGATGGTTTTCAGACTGTTTTACCAAGGAACCTTTCTTCAAAAGACCTCTCCCATTGCTCAGTACAGGGACACAGATAAATGTGGTGCTGCCCTGCATGGTAAATTGGGGAGCCTGCCTGCTTGTGCACCTGTGAGTCCGATCGTTCCTAGAGTGTCTGTGGAACCTGGGCCTCCTCAGAGGACTCTTTGAAATCAGTGCATATTTCCCTGTTCAGTTTTTTAATTTAGTTTGGTTTTTAAGCTTTGACACTCTCTTTTTTCCAAGCATTTTTTTTTCTTCTGTGTGTCTGTGTTGTGTCTGTCCACTTACTGGACGTACAGTAGGACCTCTGTAATTCAGACAATAGAGGAAAGGCAAGTCTGAAATACAGAATATTAAAAGCATAATAAAGGAGGAAACATAGGTTTGCAGTTCCTGAATTTATTAAGTAACGGAGAATGGAAACAGTCTTCCTTTCAGGCTTAGTGAGTAAATGACTCTTTGAGAAATGGATGCCAAACCATAGCCATAACCTAGTGATGGGGGTAGGGGTTGGGGGAATCCATTTTCTGTTTAATGAGGGGCAAGAACTTTCTTCTTCTACCTGTAAACGTAAACATGTTTTAATAAAAATAGCCCACCAGCCAAATCCTGAACATTTCCTTTGTAAGGGATCTTCAGTCATGTACGGGTCTTTGATTATGGAAGATATAGAATAAGACCCAGCCTCCCCTCCTGGCTTGGGTCATCTGTACCCTGCCTGCCATCCTGTGCACAGCTAGGTGCCATTTTTTAGTTGGTGGTGAGGAAAATGCTGGGTTTGGGAGAACACTTTCATATCCAACTTCCTGGCAGGTCTCTCAAAACACTGGACAAGAAATCCCAGCAATACTAACTGTACTTTAATCTAGAACAGTGAAGTTGTACTTCAGAGAAAATGTAAAACAGAGGAAGCAGAACCAGATGATAACCTGTGTCCGTGTCTGGTGATTGCACCTGGCACACAGCTCCCTGTGTGTGGGCAGGTGAGGTCCCAGGGTGCCCTGTCAGGACTGTGGTAGGGTGATGTACAGCTCATTGAGTGCAGAATTCTGAGGATTGGAAACACCAGTTAGCTGGGCGTAATAGGAGTGAGTATTTCTGAAAAGGCTGGCCAGACTTTGAATGATCTCTCTCCCCATTTCCTAATACCTATTTATTCAAGAACTGCTTCCAAGCATCATGTGGTTTTCTGGCTGAAGGACAAAGGCCAGCTCTCCAGGGTGGCCTCCTCCTGGCTTCAGTCTGGTGGGGAGTGCTTCAGGTCAGGTGTGATCCCCACTTGCACTGGTTGCTCCTGACTTCAGAGCGCACTGAGAGCAGAGCGTGCACACATAACTGCTGCAAAGCAAGTACCCCTTTCTATTCAATTGTCATTAATGTTTTTATTGAAACATCTTCTTTTCTGTCTAGATCAAGGTCCATAAGGGTGACTGCGCCTCTTGCCTGTGTCAGGCCGCTCCTGGGACATTTCACACCTCCTGGCTCCAGCATTTTAGCAGGAAAGGGATTTCCTGCTGCACTCCTCCCTTTAATCTATGGACACGCACTCAATTTCTTTCTGTCCTAAGAGGTCCTTAGCTATCCCCCCGTACTGACCCACATGTGTCCCTTTTCTGTCATGAGAATTCTCTGAGGTGCCCTTCCCAAAGTGACCATGCTTAAAGTCTCTGTATATGTGAGTCTTTATTCCCATTTCCTCACTTTTGGCTTAAAACAAAAAAGCTTTTCCATTTTTTGTTTCACAAAAGAACCAGATCCATTTTCTTTTCTAGATTTTTCTTTGCATAGAGAGTAGGGGGAAGATTGTCATCTAAAACAGCCCATTTTTATTTATTCATGAGAGACACAGAGAAAGGCAGAGACATAGGCAGAGGGAGAGGGAAAAGCAAGCTTCATGCAGGGAGCCTGATGTGGGACTGGATCCCAGGACTCCAGGAACACGCTCTGGGCTAAAGGCAGGCGCTAAACCACTGAGCCACCAGATGTCCCAAAACAGCCCATTTTTAAAATGTGGGTTTCCAGGGGTGCCTGGGTGGCGCAGTTGGCCAAGCATTCGACTCTGGATTTCGGCTCAGATCATGATCTCAGGGTCATTAGATCGACTCCTGTGTCTGACTCTGCTCAGCGGGGAGTCTGCTTGAGATTCTCTTTCCCTTTCCCTTGTCTCCCCTACCCCCCTGCCTCTCTCTCATATAAATAGATATTTTTAAAAAATAAAATTTGGGTTTCCAGACTGCCCCTTGCCCTCCTCTGTGGGGTGAAGGAGGTGGCTGTGCAGGGAGAGGGGGACCTGGCGGGCTTGGGCCCCATGCTCTGCATCAGTTCCTAAGAGCCATGTGTCAGCACTTCCCACCACACCTGTTCTGACACCTAATGGAAGGAAGTCCACAGCTACCTTTCAGGCTCTCTTTTGGTATTTTGCATTGTTTACACATGGCAAAGCTTTTTGATTGGTCTAGAGGAAACTCTAGGATAAAACAAAATGTGGCCATTTCTGGAAAGATGGCATATTTCTTTGGTTGCATATTTATGCAATAATGTTTTCTTTTTTTTTTTTTCTTTTTTTTTTTTTTACGATTTTATTTATTTATTCATGAGAGACACGGAGGGGAGAGAGAGAGGCAGAGACACAGGCAGAGGGAGAAGCAGGCTCCATGCAAGGAGCCCAGTGTGGGACTCGACCCCGGGTCTCCAGGATCAGGCCCTGGGCTGAAAGCAGCGCTAAACCACTGAGCCACCCGGGCTGCCCCGCAATAATGTTTTCTTATGATTTATAATTCTAATTTTACCCAGCCCAGAGTTGAGGTATTTATGATGACTAGAAGATTTGAATTCTAGGCCTTTGAAAGGACCAGCGCTGGTTCCTCACAGTGGCGGGAGTGCTCTGGGCTCCCCTCACCCTGCACATTGAAATCTTCTGGAAGGTACTTAACATATTCCCTTCTCATCAGTTTCTCTAGGAGTCCTTAGTAGAGCACTCAGTGTGATTAGGATGGACGGAACAGAAACCAGGTTCTGGGCAGGAGTGCTAGAGGTGGTGGAGGATGGTGACCAGCTCTGCAGCTTTCCCCCTGGGTCTGTGTCATCCCAGGGGACAGGAGAGAGGAGGGGCAGGTGCTCAGGGAGGGTGGGTTCTGGGAAACAGCCTCGATTAGGGGAGGATTTGGGGCGGGGGAGAGACTATGCTAAGGATTACAGATCCTTTTCCTCGTATTTACTTTTAAAGAATAAGCTGCCGTTTCTCTGCTTATAATAATTTCTGAAACATTAGAGTCTAAGTGTGATTTTAGCGTATATAGCTTGACTTGATCAAATAACAAAGGCCTTAAATTACCTTAGAAATATAGTTGCTTTATTCTGTCTGTGTCTACATTAAATATCTCTTACTACTTCCTCATATTTTCTAGTGTTATTGGCTGGAAAACCATAGCCTTTGTGTTCGAGAGCTCGTTGTGAGTGGAGAGGAGATTAGACCCTGTTGTGATGGTGCCTAGTAGGCTCTGTCCCGTTTTTCAAGTCACAGTATAAATATACCAGCTCCTTCATCTGGGAACTTGTCATGGATCCGCAGGCCCTGGGCCTGTTCTCCTGTATCAGGGGGAAGAAATGCCAGTGTACCAGTCCCCTGAAGTGGCACCTCCTGCCTCCAGACTCCCACTGTGCTCACATCCCTTTTTCCTCCTGGCAGCACGAACATTAACCTGCTCAGTTAACAGCCCTCACATGGGGTCTGCTCACCTCCTGTGTTCTTCAGTGTGGCTCGGCGGGCACTTGTGAACTGCCCAGGTGGCCAAGTTCCCACAGTACAGTCAGGACAGGATCTCTTGACCCTCACTGGGCAGTCGTAAGGATTGCCTTGTTCACAGTGAGAGGGCCCTGTAGTGTCATGGCCTGGGTCTGCTTTTCCCAACCCGTAGTCTTGGAATTTCCTTTCTCTGTCCTCCAAACACAGAAATGTCTGTGTGCATTCAGAGGAGGATTATCTTTCTCTGATGGAGGCACCAGTAACAATTTGATTTTCTGAAGGAAGTAGTAGAAAGGTATTGTGGGTTGGTACTTAAACCCTATGATAAAACATAATAGTATCTGCAGTTACTAAAATATTCTCTCTCTCGCATGTGTTTATTAATAAACAGTCTCACAAAACACAGATGCAGTCTAACCATCACTTCATGTTGCCAGAGAGGTGCCTGGCTTCCACGGACTTGGGGGGTATTTATCACAGCCTGTGACTGCTGACACGCTTGAACAGTCCCTGAGATGGGCTGTAAAGTAGAATTAGATACGTTCTGATTCTTGAGCCACCTCTGGCAATTTGGTATTTCAGGCTGTGGTTAGCAGTTCTGTTAGCAAGTTAATTGGAGAATTTAGAAGAAGTGATTTTTGAATAGCCCAGAGTTTTACTGTGAGTTACCACCGTTTTGAAACTTCAGTTGTTTAATTTAGTGATTTTAAATTTCAATGTTAATATAAACTTGAAATGATGTGGATGCATGACTCTCATCTGGCTGCTCCTGACTTTTGGAGGGCTCAGCTCAGGATCAGGTGTGCTGCTGAGAGTTACTCAGGTTGCAGTGGGGAGCTTTCCTGAAATTGTCTGCAAACTGTGAGCCAAGCTGTTTGTAATAGAAGAGAGTAGGGGTTGAGAGAGAAGTTTCCGATGTGTGCCTCACAAGATTATTTTGTGGGTCAGATTTAAAAAACATGGAAGCATTTTGGAAAGTCCTCTTGTTACTGGTGTCCACAATACTTCCCAACCTTTAGCTCATTTCTGTCCTTTGCTGGTTTGCTGAATACTTTATATTGCATTAATTCATTTTAGCTGGCTATGACAGATTCCTACAAGCTAATTCTGTGCTCAAAAACTATTTTAAGGGATTGGCTTGTTTTGGTTCTGTTCGTCTCTAAGCAGGGAGAGGCCCGCAGGAAAGGTCAGATGACAGCAGTGATAATCCTTGGTTTCCCACCTGGAAAAAAGATGGAAGTTAACATTTTTCCTGTTGGAAATTGTCTCTTTCCCTGCGGTGTTGACTTCCCACCCTTCCTCATTCCCCAGGTCCCCTCCTTGCCCCTGGCGTCCACCCTGCTACTCTGTGGAGGGGTCATACCCCGAGCCCTTTCTTCACTCAGGGGAGAGGGGCTGGTTTCTTCCAGCACAGTGCTGCCTTTAAAGTTGTTTGCCCTCTGCAAGGGCTGAATGCTACGTTTCTGCTTTGCAGGGCACTAAAACTGGGGCACATTTTGATTTCTCAGCAAAGAAATATATGAATTCTACGTATTTTTTTATGTTTCATAGAATTCAATTCGCCACAATCTCTCTCTGAATCGTTATTTCATCAAAGTACCACGTTCCCAGGAAGAACCAGGCAAAGGCTCATTCTGGAGGATAGATCCTGCCTCTGAAAGCAAATTAATAGAGCAGGCTTTTAGGAAAAGACGGCCTAGGGGCGTGCCTTGCTTTAGAACCCCTCTGGGACCGCTCTCGTCTAGGTAAGGAAAAAAGACAAACAAAAAGACCTCACTTACTGGTCAGTGAATTTACCTTCCATGTATTGGTCAATTTTCCTTTTGCAAGTGAAGGAACTGCCAAATGCATTATGATTAAATGTTGGGGTGGGGATTTGAAAAGAGGTGTTGGATGCTATCCATGGACGTTTTCTTAATAGTGATCTGAAACAGCACAGATTGTTGATGAAGTTGTATTTACGCTCTGTTCCCCTGCTGCCGCCGTTGTGGCTTCATTGGACTCCTTGCTCACGGTGCTTGGTGGGCAGCGAGCATTCCTTTTCTTGGGCATGAGACCAGCTCTTCAAAGCCGCATTTTAGCTGCTTAGACTCAAAATTGATACAATGTTAATTGCCTGACTCTCAGATTACATTTTAGCTTATAGATACTGTGTTTTTAAACAAACAAAAAGTGACCATGACGTAAGTGTTAAGACCCTGTCTGCTTGCGCACGGCCAGCCCCTGCTGCCCGTGGGCAGGAGCTGCTCGGAGAGGGCAGCCCGTGCGGCTCCACAGTGGTGCGGCCTGTGCTGGGCACGGAGCTGTGGTAGCCCAGCACTGGCCCACTGGCTGTCCCGACGGGGAGCCTCGCTGGGGGTCCGTCCCAGGTCACAGGATTCAGGCGGACAGTAGGACTTACAGAGCTATAGTCGGTTGACAGAAGACAGATGACACCCCTTTTTTCAGAATGCACTTTATTAAACAAGGCAGCTTTGTGAGTGCTTCACCTGTAAAAATCCACTCTCTCCTTTTTGGTGATTCAGAAGCGCCCCAGCCTCCCCCAATCACGCTGGAGTACTGTCTGCTCACTCCAGTGGAGCCCAGACCCCCGAGAGCCTGTCGAGGGAAGGTTCACCGGCCCCCCTGGAGCCCGAGCCCAGCGCCCAACAGCCCAAGCTGGCCGTCATCCAGGAGGCCCGCTTTGCCCAGAGTGCACCAGGTGAGATGTGCAGAATCAGGGCAGGCGTGATGGGCCGGGGGGGGGGGGGCGGCAGGGTGCCAGGCTCCTCGGACAAGCACCCCAGAGCTCTCGGCTCCCTTGTACCCGGTGCTTTCTCTGTAGTACCTGCATGCCGAAGCTCTGGAAAGCTGCCAGCACCGTGACTGTTTAAAAAATCAGTGCACATTGTTTTTTGTAAATAGTTTGTGTAGTTGCCTGAAATAATTTAGAATCAGTCTGTTTCTCAATTGCTTCATCATTCAAAAATTATGAAAAAAATTCCCCAAAGAAATAACACAAATTAGACAAACTAGACATTGATTGGCAGCAGAAACTCTTCACTTAATGATATGTGAGCATTTCATTACAAAGTCACAATACAGAATAAAAATGTGCACTCTGCGGAATTACGCACGCACGCACCCCCCATAGCATGGAAATGTGTCCAAGCTAATTCTCTTATTGTTTGGTTGGCAAAGAGTGCAGTTTTGATACAGTGGGATTCCTGACCACATTGGCCCCTGTCACCCGAGTGTCTTCTCCTTTATTCTGTGCCCAAGCCACGGAGAGCAGAGCTTGTACCTCTGCATCTGCACTTTGCAGTTCTCGCCCCCACCGTAAGATAAAGACTTTGGTCCTGGGGGAGCGTGGCCCCCTTGTTTGGGCCTCAGATGGCAGCTTCTTCCCATATACTATTGACGTTTTGTTTTTCATGAGGAAAGAACTGTGGGAAAACTTGTCACAGACCAGAACACAACGAGAATTGCGTTTTTAGCAGTTAGATACATGCATTAACTTTCTCCATTAAAATACCACGTTTCTCCCGTCGTGCATGACGTCACTATTACACAGAGGAAGGGCTCCCTGTCTCACCAGCCTGTGTGTCAAGCGGGTGGTTGTAATCAGGCGGCTCCCGCGGGCACCCGCACCTCACCCCGCTGCCTCACCCCCCCGCAGGCTCGCCTCTGTCTAGTCAGCCCGTTTTAATTGCTGTGCAGCGGCAGCTGCCGCCGACGATCAAGCCTGTCACTTACACGGTTGCTGCTCCTGTGACCACCTCGACTTCCCAGCAGCCTGTCGTGCAGACGGTGCACGTCGTCCACCAGATCCCCACAGTGTCCGTCACCAGCGTGGCCGGCCTGGCCCCCGCGAGCACGTACACGGTCGCCGGCCAGGCTGTGGTCACTCAGGCAGCGGTGCTGGCCCCTCCAAAGGCAGAGCCGCAGGAGAATGGAGATCACAAAGAAGTGAAAGGTAAGCCACGGGAGCAGGCGGGTTTTCGGGCTGCCAAATGCCCCGCGGCCTTGTTCGCCTGGAACCCTTTCCTCCTGATCACGTAAAGTCTTAGGTTTGCCGGCCACCTGGTGAGATTTCTGTAAGCTTTCCAGTTATATCTGTTGGTATCGTTTCCTTACCTTTTTTAAAAATTTCAGTGAAAGTGGAACCGGTTCCTGCGATCAGCCATGCCACGCTGGGCGCTGCCAGCCGGATTATTCAGACGCCACAGAGCACCCCTGTGCAGACGGTCACCATAGTGCAACAGGCACCTCTGGGTCAGCACCAGCTACCAATAAAAACTGTAACGCAAAACGGGACTCACGTGGTGCCAATCCCTGCTGCTGTCCACGGCCAGGTGAACAATGGTAAGCAGCGTCCTCCATGGGTAAGAGGGTACCGATATCAAGAGCAAAGCTCCTTTGCTCTCCTTTTTATGAATGGCATGTTCCATGTTTCGGTTCCAACTGTTAAAATTGTCATTTCTTGTCTCAGGAAATGTTTGCATTTCTAAACTGGAGAAGACTGGGCCGACCAAGGGAGCTTGGCTCTTAAATAAGAGACCAGGAACCTCCTTTCACCCAGGCTTGCAGAGCGAGGTGAAGGCTAGGCGTCCTGCTGGCTGTTAAGTCCGCTCAGGAGTTTTGTGTCCTTACTGCTGCTGCTGTTTGAGCAGTGGCTCCTTGCCCAGGCACGCGGAGGCCTGCAGGACCCCAAGTAGTAGAGTCAGGCTGCTGGCCCGAAGCAGCTTGCTGTGCCCGCAGACGGTTCCTCTGAAAGAGGGTGGCAACTGAAGGCTTACCCATGGTGGCCTCCCACCCCCTCCCGAGCTGTGGAGGGGCGGAGGAGGCCCGCATTTACCTCATGGGATTCAGATTCCCACTCTGCCTCACCGCAGATGCGCTGGAACAACAAGGTGGAACCTCGTCTGGGGAACACTAACCACCTGAGCGTTCCAGTGTCCCAGTCTCTGGACAAGTGGAGGTGTCTGCAGAGTTACCTGCTTAAGAGGCTTTCCTCTCAGGCTCTGTGTCTCCTAAGTATGGAGAGTTGTTTGGGCCTCTTTTCTTTCTGAATCAGTTTGTCCTTGTGGCTGGTCCTGGATGCAGCTGGGAGCAGGTGGCCTTGGGAGGTGGACGGTCAGTCCTCTTCTGGTCCGAGTCCCGCTCAGTCTGAAGCCATGGTGCAGGCCAGGCACTCCCAGGCATCCCGTGTCTTGGGGTCCCTCGAGGATCCCTGTCCAAGTCCCTGACTGAGCAGGTGTGGCCTTCAGGGGCCTCTATGTCCACCAGTCTGCTGGAAGGGGTTGGAAAAACTATGGATCCCTTTCACATGTGTAAGTCGGTATTTAAAATTCTTCCTTATAAATTTAATAAGCAAAGATTACGTTTTCCTATTGAAATTATAGATGTTTTAAAATAAAAGTTTTATACTATTTTCTTAAATGTGCTAATAGAATCCTGCCCTGATTTGCTACCCACTCTCAGAACGTATCAGCACCCAGACCGGCCCGCCTGCCTCGCAGGTCTTGTACAGATGCCAAGTATCTCAGGCTTGAATGTGCTTTATTGAGCATACTTTTACTCTGCTACAAGAGGCTGCAGAAATATTAAGATTTCATGGTCTGTGACTAATGGGTTGATTTATCAGTAGTTACTACTACAGTGTTGGTTAAAACCAAAAATATAATTCTTACAAGTTAAAATCTTATTAAAGATGAATTTCTTAATCTTGGGGCTTTAAAGAAAGCCCCACAGTATCATTGACAACCACTGCAGTGTCAGCCCCAAGACCCTGTTTCCTTTTGGAAGAATGAAACATAGAAGAACTACTGAAACGCCTTGCAGTTTTAGTCATCTTTTAGCAAAAACCATTTTAAATTATGTTTGTTGGTTCTCCTTTATTTTGGCTGCAGCCTTTTACTTTAGAAATCACTGGCTTGGGAAAGGGGTTTGTATCCAGTCGGTGATGATGCCACATCACAGCACCTGTCTTCTGTGTCCCTTTGTTTCATGTTCCTTTCCAGCGGCAGCGCCCAGCTGAGGAGGGAGGAGGTGGCGGGTGAGCTTTAAGACTCTGCAGGCTCGGAGGTGGCCTGGAGCTGGCCTCTCCTTACCCAGTGTCAGGTGTCGCTTGATGCCGCATGGCCTGTGGCTGCCTTTACCTTGAAAATCACTCTGGAGGGATCCCTGGGTGGCGCAGCGGTTTGGCGCCTGCCTTTGGCCCAGGGCGCTTTCCCGGAGACCCGGAATCGAATCCCACATCGGGCTCCCGGTGCATGGAGCCTGCTTCTCCCTCTGCCTGTGTCTCTGCCTCTCTCTCTCTGTGACTATCATAAATAAATAAAAATTTAAAAAAAAAAAGAAAATCACTGGAGAAGGGAAAGCATGCTTCTACCTGTTATTAACAAACTGTCAAAGTCAGCAGCTTTGATATTCTTCTTATAAGTTTGTTATTATGGAAAATGTCAAACATTCCGGAAATTAACTCACAGCCGATCTTGTTCCATTCTCCCCCATCTGTTCCCCACCCAGATCCAGACGTAGTGTCATTTCATGTGTTAATATTTCAGCATCTGTAAAAGAACTTCCTTGTACTATGTAAGCACCATGCCATTATTGTTTTTAAAATAACCAATAGGGCAGCCCCGGTGGCGCAGCGGTTTGGCGCCGCCTGCGGCCTGGGGTGTGATCCTGAAGACCCAGGATCGAGTCCCACATAGGGCTCCCTGTGTGGAGCCTGCTTCTCCCTCTGTCTGTGTCTCTGCCCCTCTCTCTCTGTGTCTATGAATAAATAAATAAAATCTTTAAAAAATAAATAAAATAACCAGTAATTTTTTTAAAAAGATTTTATTTATCTCTTCATGAGAGACACAGAGAAGAGAGGCAGAGACACAGGCAGTGGGAGAAGTAGGCTTCCTGTGGGGAGCCCTATGTGGGACTCGGTCCCAGGAATCTGGGATCACGCCCTGACCCGAAGGCTCCACCACTGAGCCACCCAGGTGCCCCTAAAATAAGCAATAAGTCTTTTATACCTAGGATCTCCTTAGCTTTCAGGTCATCTTTTTTTTTTTTAAATAATGGTAAAATATACATACCATACAATTGGCCTTTTTAAAGTGTACAAGTCAGTGGCATTGGGTATATTCACAGTGTCTTGAAACCTTTACCTCTAATGAGTGTAGAAGGATTTTCCTCATCCTAGAAGGAGACCGTATACCCAGTAAGCAGTTCCTTCCTGTTTCCCTCCTACTGAGCCCCGGTCGGCTGTCTCCGTGGAGTTGCCTACACCGGACAATTCCTGTAAATAAAATAGGATATGAGGCCTTTTATATCTGATCTCTGTCAGCGAGCATCACGGTTTGAGGTTTATCGATGCAGCCTGGGTCAGCTCTTCTTTATGGCTGAATATGTTTTCATTTTGGTTGATTCATTCATTAGTTGATGGACATTTGGGTTGTTTCCACCTTTTGGTTGTTGTGAATAGTGCTGCTGTGAACATTCATGTATATGCATTGAGTCCTTGTTTTCATTTTGCGGGGTGGGATGTATACCTAGGAGTAGAATTGCCTGGTCATATGGCAAGTCTGTTTAATTTATTGAGGAACTGTCAAACTGTCTTCCATAGTGGCAGCAGTTTGCATTCCCACTAATGATGTATGAGGTTCTGATTTGTCCACATGCTGACCATCGCTTGTTATTTTCTGAGATTCCCCCCACCATGGCCATGTTATTGGGTGTGGGGTGATATTGGTGTGAGGGAAAAGGGCCAGGAAGGGCAGAGGCAGAGGGAGAATCTCAGCAAATTGCCCCGCTGAGTGTGGAACCCAAGGCAGGGCTCCATCCCACAACCCTGCGATCATGACCTGAGCTGAAATCAGACGTCAGATGCTCAACCGACTAAGCCACCCAGGCACTCCAGGGATCAGTGGTTTTGGTTTGCATTTCCCTCATGAGTGATGGTATTGAGCATCTTTTCATGTGCTTAGCTATTTGTAGGTCGTCTTCCCACAGGTGCCTATGGAAGTCCTTTGCCCATTTTTTTATTGTTGAGTTGCAGGAGCTCTTTATATCTTCTGGATAGTAGGTCCAAATATTTTCCTCCCGTTCTGTGGGTCTGTCTCTTCACTTTCCTAATAGTGTCTCTGATGCAACAGTTTCAATTGTGAACTCCCATTTCTCTTTTCCCTTTTGTATCTTCTGCTGTGGGGTGTCCTAGCTAAGAATCCATTGCCACATCCAAGGTCGTGGAGACCTAGCCCTATGTTTTCTTCTGCTCAATGCTTACGTTTAGGTCTTTGATCCATTTTGAGTTCATTTTTGTATATGGTGTAAGAGCCTGACTCCATGCTTTGGCATGTGGGTGCCCAGTTGTCCCAGCACCATTTGAAGAGACTGTGCTTTCCCTACTTAATGGTTGTTGAAAATCACTTGACCTCAGATATATGAGTTTCTCTCTGTTCTGTTTCATTGATTTTCATGTCTATCCTTGTGCCAAAGCCACATTTTTTTATTATTACAGTTTTATAGGAAGTTTTGAAATTAAGAAGTATCTGTCCTCCGACTTTATTATTTTTTCTTTTTTCCAAGGTTATTTTGGCTATTCTGGATACCTAGCAATTCCATGCAAAGTACAGAATCAGCTTTTCCATTTCTGCAAAAAAAGCATTTGGGATTTTGATAGGGACTGCACGGAGCTGTAGATTGCTCCAGGCAGTAGTTCTCTCTGTAAGCACAGACGTCTTTGCATGTGTTTAGGTCTTTGAGTTCTTTCAGCAGTGTTCTGTAGCTTTCAGTGTAAAAAGCCTTGCTTAAATTTCTCCTGTTTTATTCCTTTGGAATTGTTTTCTTAATTTCCTTTTGAAGTTGTTCATTGTCCTTGTATAGAAACACAGCCAGTTTTTGCCTGTTGATATTGTATCCTGCAACTTTGCTGAATTCATGTATTGTAATAGCTTTTGGTTTGGGGGTTTTCTTCTGTGGGTTTACTAAGATTTTCTGCATTCAAGGAGGATGTCGTCTCCAATAGAGACGGTTTTCCTTCCTGTTGCTGCCCAGTGGCCGGGGCGAGAGCTGCTGATCGAATCGTGATGGCGGCGGGCCTCCTTGCTCTGCTCCCGATCTGGAGGGGCGTCGTCCTCACCATCGAAGCTGATGTGAGCTGTGGGTTGGGTTGTCCTCTACAGACTTTAGCATGTTGAATTGTTTCCTTCTTCCTGGTTTGCTGAGTAGCTTAATAATGAAAGGGGGTTGAATGCTGTCACATGGGTTTTTCTTTTTTTTTAGAGAGAGAGAGAGCACAAGTGGAAGGTGGGAGAGGGGTGCAGGGGCAAAAACCTCAGGTCGACTCCCCACTGAGCGGAGAGCCCACAAGGCTCCATCCCACGACCCTGAGGTCACGACCGGAGCCGGACACTTAGCCGACTGAGCCACCAGGCACTCCGGGGGACATCGTGCACTTTGTATTAAGATGATCACGGGGGGGGGGGGGGTTCCTTTATTTATTTATTTATTTGTTTATTTTAAGTATAATTTATTTATTTATTCATGGGAGACACAGAGAGAGGGGCAGAGACACAGGCAGAGGGAGAAGCAGGCTCCATGCAGGGAGCCCGACGTGAGACTCGATCCCGGGACCCCAGGACCATGCCCTGGGCCAAAGGCAGGCACTAAACCGCTGAGCCACCCAGAGATCCCCCAGGTTTTTCCTTTATTAACGCAGTATGTTGCGTAAGTGGGGTTTTTGTTTTGTCTGTGTGTGTGGTGCTTTATGTTCAGCCACCTTGCATCCCTGGGATCAGCGCCACTTGGGGCGTATAACCCTCTAATATGCTATTGAATTTGGTTTACTCATGTCGTCTTGAGGATATTTGTGTCAGTATTTGTCAGAGATAATTGTAGTTTACTTGTAGTATTTTTGTCTGCTTTGGTATCAGGGTAATGCTGGCCTCAGAGAATGAATGCGGAAGTCAGGCCTGGGCCAGTGTGTGATGGATCCGCTTCCCGGCAGCTTCTGGGGCTCCTCGACCTGTTCCCCAGAAGATGTGCCTCTGACCATTCCTGCAGCCTCTCTCACGAAGGTCCTTGGTCAGTCCCTGCTGGGACTGCTGCCCTAGGCTGTCGGGGGGCAGTGGGTCCTCCCTCTGCTGACCGCGTTCCTGGTGACCCTGAAGGAGTCCCGGGTCCACACTTGACTTGTCCTTGCTTCTTACAGAAAGTGGCTTCCAGTTCTCACGCAGGGGGTCTGGCCGTGATCTCGTGTGTCCTGGCCCTGCCAGGTGGTAAGGAGGGGCCCGTGTCCTAGTGTCTGCATGCTGTGCTCTGTTGAGCGAGTCCAGTGTCCTTACTCACCCCTGCCTCCCCCGTGGGCCCCAGCAGAGTACCTGCTTGACTAGTGTGGCCTTTGGCCTTGTGTTCCCCATGGCTGGGCTGCGGGGAGGAGCTGCCCCCAGCTCCTCTGAGGGGCATGGGAAGGTTCAAGTAAGGAGGGTGGAGGAGCGTTGCCTTCTCCCCGCTGCTGTTCTACAGCCGTGGGCAGGGCACCTGCACCTCCAGGCGGGTACCTGTTGTGCCCAGCCTGCCTGAGGCTGGTGCTCTGTGGGACTTCTAGAGAGGACCTCATGCACTGGGCCCTCCGTACCTGCCTCATCCCCAGTCAGTACTCACAGCATGGTGTTTGTGGAGGCCTGGGTGTGGCGTGCTGGCTCCTCCTGGGGTAGATGACCACAGTGCTCCCCACCCCCTGTCCCGGCCTCAGCTCTGACCGTAAGCGTGTGGCCTTTTCACAGCCTAGTAGTGCCATGTTTTTCTTCTTTTGTGTTTTTGTTGATTTTCTTGTTTAAAATGGACCCTAAGCACAGTCTTGAGAAGGTCTGGTGCTCAGCACAGGTGTGATGTGCCTTGCGGAGCAAGCGGGTTAGAGGAGCTGCTTTCAGTCTCGTGCTCTGTGTCCGCGATTCCATCTGTGGGTGGAGCAAGTCGTCTTTAACCAGAAACACATGCAGAACAAGGTGTTAGTTGGTTGACAAATGGCAGCAAGTGCCATTGTGCTGCGTGGCTCCGTTCTGGGTGCCGGTTCACTCCCGCTTGTGTCAGGCGCCGCTCCCCCGTGTGTGTGTGTGGGGGGGGTCGTCCCCTTTGCACTGCGTGTCAGCGCCGCCCCCCAGCCACCGGGCTGCTATTCCCAAGAGGGACAGGGCACTTGGATGAAGGAACACCCAGCGCGGAGGAAGCAGGCCCCCCCGTGTCCCTGAGGACGTGGCCATGCGCAGGGCCGGGGCTGGTAGCTCTCCTGGTGCTGGCCCCTAAAGTCCCCCGGGGCCCCTCTGCCCAGGACGATGCGCGCTCTCCACCCCTGTGTTGGGCACAAGGGGCCTAAGCACAAAGCCGGCAGACAGGCCTGGCAGGTGAAGGCCCCAGGTGGCTGAGACCCGCAGACCTCGGCTGGCTGTAGCTAGTCTGGCAAAAATCAAGTAGCTGGGTGCTGTCGCATGAATGGCCACCTGGCAGTGACGCCTGAGGCCCTCGTGTGAGCAGGAGTGGGTGGGTGGGGACTGTCTGAAGGTACAACTGTGTTCCTGAGGCGGGTACAAGGAAGGTTGCTCTGAATCGTGCAAGTGCTTCCTGGGCCCCTGGCTCCCCCTGGCTGCCCCTGCGCCTTCTGGTCCAGGTGAGCCAGTGAGCATCCCCTGCCTGGGGCCTGGGGGGCGCCTCCACGTCCCAGCGTCCTGTACCCCTGTGTCTCCTTGGCCCTGCACTTGACCTCCTGCTGCGGCCCCGTAGCTGAGCCGACCCTCCCTTTCTCGCTACCCAGGCAGCCTCGCGCTCATCTGACGCTTCACTCCAGGAGCACAGTCCCCCCCCTTTCTGCATTCTTCCGTGGCCGGTTCCAGGGTTTGGTTTGACACGGGGCCGGAGGGGAATCGGGGCTCAGGGGCCTCATGCTGGGGCAGATGGGCTGGCAGTGCTGCTGTGCCCCACAGGCCGTCAGGCCTTCCTCTGCAGCCCAGCCCGCCTCCTCACCCTGAGGAAGTGGCACTCTCTGGAGAGGAAGCAACCGCTCTTTTCATCTCCTGGAGATTCCCTGTGTGCGCAGAGCAGGGGCGGGTGGGGGCCAGGGGGAGCCGGGGAGCCAGTCCAGGGCCTTGTGGGCACATGTCTGCGTGTCAACTCCAGGCCTGGTGTGTGACGTGACCCAGGAGCACTGAGCGCCGTGTGGGCCGTGAGGGGCCTCTGCACAGGGCCGGCAGCAGCCGCGTGGCCTGACCCCGAGCCCGGGCTTCCCCAGTGGCTCTGTGAAGAGACACACTATTTGAAGGAATAGAGATACTGGCTGTCCCTGAGAACACCCGCCGGCCGGTTAGCTTGCTCCAGGGTTTCTGGTCCCCAGGAGTCCAGTCCAGACCCCTGTGCCCATGGCCACTGCGGGCCTTGGCAGTGACGCACAGAGCCCTACCCTTGGAGCAGAGCCGGACCAGTGGGGGCCTGACGGGGGACAGGGGTGCACCCAAGAACACGAGGTCTGATTCACTGTCTCTTTGCAGCAGTGGCGAGTCCTCTGCACATGTTGGCGACACATGCATCGGCGTCGGCCTCCCTGCCCACAAAGCGCCAGAATGGCGACCCGACGGAGCAGCCGGAGCTGAAGCGGGTCAAGACGGAAGACGGCGAGAGCATCGTCATCGCCCTGAGTGTGGACACACCGCCGGCAGCCGGCAGAGAGAAAGGTGTCCAAAACTAGCAACTGGGACAGCTTTTCATACTTTAATATCTACTCTGTGGTGCCAAAAGGAGACACTGCCTCTCACCGACACTCGGAGCGTGTCGTCTCGGTGGGTAGAGGGCCCTGCGGTTGGACTTCACCTCAGCACTGAAAACACAAAACCCAGGTGGCCTTAAAACTCCTTAAAGACAGAAGTCACACCTGAACAAAACCACATGCAACAAAACCTGGTCCGGCAGTGTCTCCCCACCCCGAGCTCAGCTTGTCCCTCTGGAGTGGAGCTGCTGGGACAGGGCGGGGACCGTCCTGACGCCCCCCAGGAGCCTTGGAGCTGGCACTGGTAGATGAGACAGTCTTTTGTTGTTCACATGTGGAATTAGAGTATTTTGAGGTGTACTTTCTTTACGAAATAACGGGGTCTTTGACATTTCAGATCGCTCCATTTCTACTCTGGAAAATTTGAAATCACACAGGACCTTTCGTGTTGATTTCATTTGGGGAAAAGAAACAATGTAGTTTTGTTTTTGTTGTTTGTTTTTGGCCTATGGAATGATTTCCTTTTGTCTGTCCTGTTAACGTTCAGATGGAGCTACTTGATGACACCTGCAGGTTTTCCGTGTTAGAGCAGGTGCCGCACGCATCTGGGACGGACGGACAGATGGACGCCCTCGCTGGGCCGCATGTTCACCATGACTGAACTGCTGGACTCTTGGAGCTGCACTTACCCGGGTCTCTTTCCTGCTACTTTTTGTTGTTTGTTCCTTTGTGTTGACTTTGTCCCTGGCATAATTTTCCACTCTAAGTAAAACAAGCCTCCTAAGTGTTGTGTGTGTTTAAAATGACAGAACTGTTCCTACTTCATTTGGAAAAAAGATTCAGTCTTATACCACACACCCTTTTCAGACGAGTGTCACAGGTCTCTCCGTGGCGTGTTCGCTAGTCACTGTCACCGGTTGTAGGCGCAGAGCCGTCGTCCGACCAGCTGCCCACCTGATGACGATGCGGTCTGTCTGGCTCATGGGAGCAGGTGCTGGGTGGAGTCGAAGCTGCATGTTAACACAAGGGTCCTTCTCTGGTTTGTGACAGGAAATCCCCCTCAGCCTCTCAGAACTGCAGTCCTAAAGCTGACTTCTCTCCTACAAAAAAGCAAAAGTGAGATGAAAGGAAACAAAGGTGAGACAGCAGTAGAGGCCCCGCCCGGCCTCAGTCATGCTGCCCCAGAAGAAAACCGCTGGCCTTTCCAGAGTGTTCCGGGGGGTTAGGGCTGAGCATCTGTGCAAATAGAAGAGGGCTTTGGCCTTATTGTGAACTTTTAAATGTCATCATCATCATGTTATTTATTTAAATGTAGTTATTTTGGTATTTAATTTTTTTTAAAGAGAGGAGAAAAAAAACCCTGTATTTTCCTGGTGGAATGAAACGGCTCAGAATGGTATATTTAGGCAATTTTAAAACATTTATTATTTACCTACAGACCAAATATGATAAATCTGTTCTAAGTATTGTGTGTCAACCCACAGTATGGAGCTGTCACAATGTTATTGCAGATAACGCGTATTAAAAATTATGAAATCACTGCACACTAGCTGGATTTATAACTCAGCCATTTAAAAAAATAAAAACAAAACCATCATGTGAATGATACCACGTGTGTGACAGTAGCAAAATCTAACTTGCAAGCTGAAGCACGGATGGATCAGAGCACCTCAGGGCAGCAGTCTGCATCTTCCATGCACTTTACAGATACCTTGGAATGTATATTTTTGTCTTTTTACTCAGAAGGTTCACAATTTACAAAATAACTTGGATTGCATTGTGTCTTGTGTAGGGTCAGGTCGCTCCACTGAGTGGTCCAGACCTGCCAGTCACGGCTCCTGTAGGCCCTGCCGAGACCTGGGCAGGTGAGTGGTCGCAGCTGCCCCGGCAGGAACACTGGATTGGGCAGAGGCATCGTATGTCCTCCTGGAGATGTGTCTACACGGCTGTGTACCTGTCACCATCCAGAGAGACGGGTAGATTCTCCCGAAGTAAGCCCGCTCTGTCAGTTGGTTATTTCTGAGCCTAAAACACAGACACTTTGTGAGTCTGGAGGGATTTCTTCTGGGATTGTAGATTAACAAAAGCATCCAGTTCTCAACATTTAAAGGAGAGAGGAGGCTGTTTTTTTGCTGTAAGGTAGCTGGTGTGGGCCTTTTTCAGAGGGCCTGGGGGCCTTTTCTTGTTGCCTTGTTCAGCTGGCTGATTGATTGGCACGTGGAAAGGTAAGAATATCGAGGAGAAGGTAGAAAAAAACCTTGGATTTGCAAACAGCCATATCTCAGAGGCACTTAAAAAATGTTCAGTTTAGTGCTGAATTTCCAAGAGCCCTCAAAACTCCCAGGGTCGCTGAGCTTGTGTCCCTTCCACCCTGCTTGATGCCTGGGGCCCGCCCCATCAGCAGACATGTGGCACTGAACTCTCAGCTGTTCACTGGCAGTTCCCAAATGTCTGATTTCAGGAGGTTTCTGCTTTGATCTTTGCCAAACTTCTGAGTCCCCCAAGGGACTAGAAACTCCGTTTGAATAGTTTTGCCCTGAACCAAACAAAAACAGGAGAGAAACTCACATGTTAGCCACAGAACAGGTGTGTTCTCAGGAGTCTGGGCATGATTTTGGATCCATCTTACTCTGGCATCGTTAGTCTCCACGTGAACAGTTGAGCTCCTTAAAGACCCCACCCCCTTTGCCATCCTCCCTAGAACAGCACAGACCTTGAGTCATGGTCAGAAGGGGTGGGTGGGGCGGGGCCAGGACTTGGGATCTCTGTGCTGTGTGACACAAGGAGATAAGTGACAATCTTTAAGTCCTAACTTCCACAACCCTAGAAAGTATAGTGGTGATTTGTGTGCAAAGATTTGAAATTTTAAAATTACCAAGTTCCTGAAATTCAATAAAATATTTTTACTAATTTTAATTGAATACAGAGTATCATTGTCATTGTTATTTTGATAAACTAAAGCAAGCATTTTTTAAAAAAAAATTTTGTAGCTCATCTTCTGAGCATACCAAAGGCCTAGGGCACTGGAGCAAATGTGTAAAGGAGCCGCTCACACTGACCATGGTGTCGGCTCAGCCACTAGGAAGGGGTGTTACGTGACTGCATGAGGAACAGGCAAGGGGTCACAGGCAGTAGTTAACGGGGTTTGCTGATGTTTATCTGCAACACTGCAGTTTTAAAACCTATTTGAGGTTGTTTCTATCTTCTCTTCTAAGTCTTGCCCTTCAACCTAAGAAGATCACTGCAAACAACTTGAGATTTATCCTCCCACGAGATGCAAGTCTCACCTGAAGAGGCACGTGGCTGTGCAAGCTCCACACTCAGCTCCCAGAAAGCCCGTGATGTGGGCTGGTGTCCGGGAGCGTGCTGGTAGCCCTGGGCCACAGTGGCAGCGGGTACCGAGCATGGCGCCGAGCCCCCGTGGGAGCGCAGCGAAGCAGCGCTGCAAGACTCCTGGGGGCACTTCATTCCTCCACCGACAGAAGGAAGCCTCATTGTTGGCTTGCTTAGATCTGCCCACGTTGTACCGATAGCTGCTCTCAGAGGCTTGCAGCCTCATCCCCCTTCTCTCAGGAAGCATCACTCCAGTAATTAAGTTCACCCTGAAGTTACACTGTGGAAGCAGAGGTGACAGCTGTCCTAGAGGATAAGCTACTTCATCCAAGAAAAAAACGTTGAAGAAAAGAGCCTTTGGAGAAAGGAAACCATTCACTAACTGATAGATCTTTCCAGGTAGCAAAAAGCACTGCTAATTACAGGTAGGCCTGGCCCCTGTGTAGGGCCATGTCCCGTCTGCAGTGAAGACACCAGGGCACACTGTGCACCTACCTGCAGTCGCCAGATAATACGTTCTGGCGTAAACAGGGAGGCGTGAGATCCACGGTTCCAGGTGACTAATGCCGTGGGCCCCTGGCCAGCACTCTGGTTCCTGTGAAATGCTGCACCACCTCCGCATTATGAACCCAGCAACAGCAAGCTGGGTAAACCTGTGAGCACAAATTCCCCAAGCCTGGAAAAGCCTCTTGGGTCCCCGTGATGTAAGCACGCTCTACCCTGTGTCTTCCCAGTGGTTACAACTAGCAACCCTTAACAGGATAAAGTGATCATCCTGGGTCTCTGGAAAATAAATTGTAGCAGGGAGATGGGGGCTGAGGGATTGAAAGTGCAGGTGCGTCTGATATGCTGCTATTTTCCCAGCTCTTCCCCTCTCGTATCTCCTGGGCAGCCCGGATGCCAGAACTGCACATCAGAAGCAGATAGTACCCAAGGGACATGTCCCTGTCCACTGGGAAGGGCCTGTGGACACGGGAAACGATGAAGCTATACACCTGTCGGCAGCACCCCTGACAGTGCTTGGGCAGGACGGACCAGGAGAGGGGTCCCCGTGTGCCACGGGGGGGTGTGGAGCGGACAAGCCCTGTGATGGTGGTCTTCCCTCGCTGGGGCCTCCACGTCGGCCCCATGCTGGACCCAGTCAGTGTGCAGCACCACAGGGAGGCAAAACCTGAACTTCTTTAGCCAAAGGATGAAGAGGAGGGGTATCTGAGATGGAACTATGAGAAGATCCTCTAAAGTCCCTCTGACACCCTGGGTTCCCTGAGCTGCATGCATGTGCCTGGACCTGCGCCAAGGAAGTAGGAGCTGTTATTACCTGAACTGCTACATAACTGACTCCCGGTTCACGCAGGTGCAGACCCAAGTGGGACCACCTGGGCCTGAAAACCAGTCGGCACCAGAACCAAAGCCCACCCCGGGCAGATCAGCACGTCTGAACATAGATGGATTGCTTGCTCCAAGAAAAAAAAAATCAGTATTGTCTACAGGATTTTAATAAGATTCAGAGTGTCTCAGTCAAAGTGTCCACAATACAATCCAAAATTACTCACCATATGGAGAGCCAGGAAAATCTTTTAAGGGGAAAAGAAGGTTAACATATGTCAACTTAAATGTGTTGGAATACTCAGAAAAAGAGCTTTTATATAAATATCTTTTATTGTAACCATACTCCACGAAAGAAGGGTACATGCTCTTGAAATAAGTCATAAACTTTAAAGTGAAAAATACAGTGGATAAAAACATTTGGAAGCAAACGAACTCTTGGGGACTTGTGGGAAAATATAAAATGATCTACGGTGTATGGTAATTGAATTTCCAGCAAAAGGAGACAGACATTGGTGTAAAAAAATTTTTTTACAAAATGGTTGAAAATATTCCATATTTGACAGAAGACAAATATAAGATTCACAAAGCTCAGTAAACCCCAAAAGTTAAACTCCAGGAAAACCATGTTAAAATACCAGTGACTAGTGAAACTTAAGATTTAGTCTTGAGGGATGCCCAGGGGACTCAGTGATTGAGCACCTGCCTTCAGCCCAGGGTGTGACCCCAGGGTCCTGGGATCGAGTCCCACGTCGGGCTCCCCCCAGGGAGCCTGCTCCCCCCCTCTGTCTGGGTCTCTGCCTCTCTCTGTGTCTCTCAGGAATAAATAAAATCTTAAAAAAAAAAAACTTTGAATATTGTAATAACTAACACAAAGTTAAAAGGTAAATTAAAATGGAATGCTAAAAATGTTTCAAATACAAAAGGAAGCAGGGAACATAAAACAAGGGAAAACCATGAACTAAGCAAACAATAACGAAATCAACAGTTACGTTCAATATAAACAGTCTCAGCGTAAAAAAGCTTGTCAGAAGTTCAAACAGTCCCGTTTTCAAATGCATCAGAGAGCAGACTACGTGGGCACCTGCATAGCTCACTCAGGTAAGCATCTGCCTTCGGCTCAGGTCGTGACTGCAGGCTCCTGGGCTCGAGCCCCACGTGGGGCCCCCCAGCAGGGACCCTCCTGCCCTCCCACTCGTGCTCTCACAAATAAAAATCATTAAAAAAACCACCCACCTAGGACTAAATGTAACCAAGGAGGTAAAAGACCTGTACTCTGGAAACTAAAACATTGATGGAGAAGATTGAGGATGATAAATTAAGTCGAAAGACATTCCATGGTCGTGGATTGGAAGAACCAATGTTGTGGAAATGTTTGCTTTGCTGCCTAAAGCCGCCTACAGATTTATTGCGGTCCCTATCAAAACACAAACAGCATTTTTCACAGAACCAGAACAAAATCCTAAAATTTGTACTACCAGAGACCACAATAGCCAAAGCAACCTCAAGAAAAAACGAAACTGGAGGTATCACAATCCCAGATCTCAAGATCTTCTATAAAGCTATAATAAAATAGTATGGAACTGGCACAAAAAGAGACACAGAGATCAATGGAACAGAACAGAGAGCCCAGAAATAAACCCAGTTAATCCATGACAAAGGCAAAAGTATACAGTGGGGAAAGGACAAATGGTGCTGGGGAAACTGGACCACTTTCTTGTACCATCCACAGAAATAAACTCAAAATAGATTTAAGACCTAAATGTGAAATCCTAAAACTCCTAGAAGAATAAAGGCAGTAATATCTTGGATGTCAGCCACAGCAACATATTTATGAGTATGTCTCCTCAGACAAGAAAAACTAAACTCTTGGGACCGCACCCAAAGGAAAGCTCCGCAAAGGAAACCATCAACAGAACAAAAAGGAACCTACGACCCCAGAGAGCTCA